GGGAGGAGAGGGGTGGGAGGCCAGGAAAGGCCGGCACAGTCGGTTTCTTTGAGCGCGATTCTCAGCGGGGGATCTCCTTTCTGGCAGCAACAAAACCACCGACGCCTCGCAGCACCTTTTTCATCCCCGATCATCTTGTTCGCTCGTCTCGGCCGCGTCCTCGCTGTGTCTCTGATAATTCTCTCTCTCTCTTTCTCTCTCTCTCAACCGCCATATGCTCTCGCGACGGGCTAAAGAAACGTTGGAGTCGATGTCCAACCATGACAGCTGGGTGTGCGTCCATGTGGTTGATTTTCCTTCGTAATGATCTTCTTCGATCTTCGCGAGTGGAATTCTTGAATTTTTCCTTCCTCTCTGTTTTTTGATCTTTCGATTCAGGGTAAAATAAACGACGATGAGACGGTTAAGGTGTCTCCGTCTTAAATTTGATCGAATGCAAATTTTGTGTTACATGATAGGTGTGATGATATATGATTCAATCATATATATTTTCAATTATCTTGGATTCTGGAAAATCTAAGGGTATTTGTATTCGAATTTTAATAATTTTTACTAGCTTTTACAATGAAGTCATAATGAAAACGATGAATTAAGGAAATGATACGGTAGTTTTTCGAAAATTTGATTGAACTATTACATATTTTATGTTATTTAATAAGTTATAATTCAATATATAATTGATAGGAATGTGAAGAAGAATTAGATATTTTTATAAAAATTTTTAAATAACTTATAACGCGATCTCAAGTTATTCACACTTTGAAACATCGAATTTTAATTTTGAAAGGATATTAACTTTAGAGCCCATTTCTTTCTCTCAATTCCTACATTTGTATTCAAATTTATATAACCCAATTTTTATTATCTCGATTGGATTATCTTCATTCTCTCGTATTAAATTTAATCGTGACAAGACCTCTTTTACTAAATTGTCAATCACTGACAATTATTAATAAAACTATCCAAAAAACTTTTTTATTAAACTTACCAATCATCGAATCCTTAATAAATTTTCAACTTACTAATTACCTACGAAACTTTGAAACTTTCAAACTTTCCGCAAAATTATTAAAAATTATCGAGAAATCTCTTCGTATATCACAAACACAATCGAAAAGATATTCAGAATTAAGAGACTCGAAAGGACTATTTAACAATTCCTAGAAATCTCATATCGAACAATTTCTTCTTCGAACTCGATGCAATAACTCGAAAAATTCGATCCAAAACTGGAAATAAGCGACAGAAAATTTCGAACGACGAAGAACGAGATATCGACGATTATTTCCTCGATACAAAATCGATAAAAACGGTTCTCCAATTCACGCAGCGCGCATATTTTAAAAGCACGATTTCTCGTCGCGAGAAGGTATCGGCAAAGGGGGTTGGGTCCCGCGATAAAACGCATTAGCCGGGTTGATTATTTACAAATCGCGTACGCGGCGATTCGTTTCCGTGACCGATTTTTCGCGGCGATCGTAAAAATCGAACGGTGTGCGCCGCTTAACGCGCTATTCGTTAAAACCGAGCGCCCGCTTTATGGCACCATTTGGTCGCCGTCCCTTTTTTATTCCCCGACAGCCAGAGGACTCGCGTTACTTAACGATCGCCCCGGTAATTAATGACGAACTCGCGGGGTCTGGCCTCCAGTAATTAAATCGAATTTTGCGCGCGGAGATTCGAACGGGGCAATCTCGAACGACTAATTTATTCTTGGCCGAGAGGAGGCGAGAGTGGAATGTTAAATAAGAATATATAGGGTTGGCCTCGAAATGTACCTCGAAATTACAGTTACAGTTTGTCTGGAAATTTTCTTTTTACCGATTTTTAATGGTAAACGAGGTAAATATGATCGGGAAATTAAGGTAAGAGGCAGCAATTCGTAAGAGGATCGAGGAATTTTCTTCGAGGATTTGTTTGCAGATGGCATTGGATCCTTCTGTTTCTTTATCGGCGTTCAATTTTATTAAGTTGTTTGATTTCTTCGAAATCTTTGATCTTATGTTGAAAATTTAATTTGGAAAAATTGTTATCGTTATTTTAAATAATGTTACATAACGTTGCGAAAGCGAAGAGAAATTTATCTAACCTAAAAAAAAATTTGATTTTAATGAAATATGTAGAACAAATTTTTTTTTTTTTTCTTTTTCGATTCGAAATTTCCTCGAGGACGTGAAATCGAAGTTTCGGTATTTTTTTAGCGTTAAAGAAATTATGACATTTCGCAATATAAAATTTTGCTCTATCTCGCTTCATTATAAAGTTATATTTAAAAAGCGAAAATCATACTGAAACTTTGAGCGTTGATTTCACCTCTTTAAAGTGATATTTCGGCGAAAGAAAATTGCTTCATGTATAACCCATTATACTGTACGCGTTCATAAAGTTTCATTAAAAATGAAAATAATGTTCGTTAATATTTCAAAAAATAAAAGACTTTTTATAAACAAAAAAAAATAAAATACTTTTACGAATCGTTGTAAAATTATTATTGATTAAGAAGTACGTATGGTGATCCATGTGAACGATTCAAATATCAAATTCAATATGTTCTAACATTTTGGTAAAAATTGATAAAAAAAAAAATTTCTTACTCAACTTTCATCCTCTTAATGAATTTGCATAAAAGTTAAACGATGGAAAAAATTCAAATTTCTATCTTCTTTCTTTTTTTTTTTTATTACGACACAAAAGTTATCTCGATTTCTTCTTCAATCAAAGATCTTCGATATTCTTTTTTCAATCTTTTTCACGATCGTCTTTCGTTCGACTCCCTTTCATTCCCTTTAAATTTCATTTTACCTTGTCGCAAATAGGCAGAGTAGACTCTCCAACGATTCGAGATAAAAGCAAGCAATTTAATAAAATAAAACGATTATCGATTTACGTGGCGATGGATTTCAAAAAGATAACGCAAAACGAGGTGTTTAACTATTCCACCGGCGCGAAATCCGGCGCGGGATTCTTAAACGATCTCGGAGGTTGGAGGCTTAAAAGGAATTTCCTGTGATCCGTTATAAATTTACCACGTTCGACAGTGAAAGCTGGTTCGGTGCTTTGATAACGTTCGCGCAATCTCCATTAATCTGAAAGGCAAATATCGGTCACTTCATCGATTCATTTTTCTCTTTTTCCTCTTTTCTCTCTCTCTCTCTCTCTCTCTCTCTCTCTTTCTCTTTCTTTCTTTCTTTTTTTTCTTTTAAATAAACGTTAATTTTACGAATGACGTTCTTGACCTCGAAAATCGTCGAGCAAAAGTCAACTTGTCGAGCCTTTGAGTTTCGAAAAGAATGATTTATTGAAATGAAGCTGACATGCGATCGAAGAAAGGCAAACAAGCACGAGAATTTAAGAATGCCGGAAAATAATTTATCACCGAGAAGTTTATTTTTGATCGTGGTTTATCTCGAGTGTGTTATTAATATAAAAAATATTCGTTAACCGGAGAGTGTATAATCCTTGTAACATGGGTACTAATTTAATTTCTCTCTCGATTTATAGAAATATCTTATTTAAAATTTAATAGTAACAATATGACGTACAATTTGATATATATATAAATCCTCGATATAACCTTTCATATCGCAAGTGAATATCTGTTTTAAAATATCTGTTTTAAAATATAAATTTATACCTATCAAATTGCACGTTCATTTCTCTAAAAAAAAAAAATAAAACGATCACTATTCACAATCTATTATTTCCTTTCCTTCTTCTCGATTTATTCTATCTACGCCGCACGAAATAAAAGATAACTTTTTACGCATTGTCCTAGTCGGGGACGAACAAACGACAAACCTCGATTTATAAATCCACTCACTAATAACAAGAGATGATATCGAAGGGGGGAATCACGGGTATGATAATCCACGTAGGGCAAAGAGCGGCAAATCCATCGTAACGAGGTGAACGAGTTACCTTAACGACCGATCCCGCGTGACGTTTTTTCAATTCGACCACGAATCGATCCGCTTTATCTATCACCAGTTAACCGATGTAAATTTACCAAACGTTCGCGTGGAAACAAAGGGCCCTTCCCTGGTTGACCTAATCGCTTTAACCCGTTCCATCGAGTGAACGAATCAAAGAACGGCAGGTGTGCATGCGCGAAAACGGACGAAACAATTGGTTCTCGATCGATTTGCTCGCCGATCGTTCCCTCGAGGTGCTCGCTCGAAACGTTCCAATTATCCTTTCCGCGGGCAACGGCTATTTTGTTTAAACCTTCGCTCCATTATTGTTTCCCGCCCCCTCTTGTGCCTACGTCGCATTTATCGGATTCGATTCCTCCATCTCGGCGATCAGAGAGCATCTTCCGATTTTTCCATTATGGAGATTGTAGATTTCTTCGATTTATCGGGGAATTCTGAAGAACTGATCTAGAATATCTAGGTTTTTTTCTATATTTATTTGTTTGATATCGCTTTCGTTGCCATAATTTTTTGAGTATTGCGAAGGGAAATCGTGGCTTGAAGAACGTTGAGAGGTACGTTTTCAAAGTTGAATTTGTTGAATTGAAATATTCGTTTAAGAATATTAAGTAATTGTTGATGATTTAATTTTACACTGTACGCTAAAATTACACTATCGAACTGTAATTGATAAAATAATAATAAAAATAATTCGATTATTTCAACCGATAGCTATTTATTCCTAACGATTATCCTATTTTCTTAACGATTAAATAAATTAATTAAAAGACGCACGCTTGTTACTATTTAGACTTTGCTCGTCGAACGAAACTCCTCTACTGCGGAATTTATAAACTACGTCGCTGGCGAATGTTGATATTTTGCGAGCGAGAAAGTGTTCCACGAATTGGAAATGTTTATAAATATCGTCCCCGCGAAATACGCTCGTTTATTGAAATCACTCGATACACCATTGTCCTCGAGAATTTAAAGACAATATTCGGGAATTGGCCGATTGGCGCGATTATTTTCAATTGCAAAAAATAGTCAATAGGTCTTTTTTCAGTGTGCGATGCTGGTTCGACGATTTACTCTACCCCGAATGATGTAACGGTGAGAAAAGTTGGGTTGGAAGGTCGTCTTGGAAAGGGTGCAGCCATCGACTATCGAGAAATTAGACCGCTCAAAGTTCCACCTCCTTGTCCTGGGACCATGGTTCCGTTCTCCTTCGGTCGTGATGTAAGATGTAATGCTTCCAGGAGGACCGCTGGGATTCGGGAAATCGTGTCGCTAGTCGAGGCAGATTTATTTGCGGGGTTGGAAAAAAGCGAGAACGAAAGGAAATTATTCCTTGGAGGGGTTCGAGAAAGAAATTTTAAACGACGATATAGAAATATAAGCGCAATCTCTAATCATCGAATTGGATGGTCGGATGATAGATACGACGAGAAATTATTAAACTTTTATAATTTTTTATAATTTCCATGATTTTAAAATTTGTTCGAAATACATTAAAATTTTGATCCGAGTGAATATATTTTAACAAAGTTACGAATTTTTTGATCATTTTTCAACGAATTACTTGAATGAGTTATTCGAGGATCGAGGAAACCGTATGTTGGTTCTTTTTAAAGATTTTATTTATTAAATAAGTTAAATATTTGTTTAAACATACGATATAGAAATATAAGTGCAATCTCTAATCATGATTGGATGATAGATACTCGAGCAACGGCGAGAAATTATTATAAACTTTTATAATTTTCCATAATTTCCATAACCTTAAAATTTGTTCAAGATAGAAAAAAGTTCCATTTAAATAAGTTAAATATTTGTATGAAATTGAAATAGCGCGTGAAGATTATGTGGTGGAATTTTAGATGCGATCGAAATAGCCCGATTTTATTGATCTGGGACTTGTTCCGTTCCTCAATGAACTCTCAAGGATGCTGTGCTTTCAATGGTCGCGATTGGAAAATAATTCCGAATTTTTGGGATCCAACATCGAGTAAAATATTATCACGTTTTATGTAAATTCTGGTTTCTGGAATTATTCGAAGAAGAAGCTTATTGGAGATTCACGGGGAATAACGAAACGGATGAAAAATACGAAGGAGAAAACGATCTGCTGGCTCATTGATTAACAATCAGCCCGTGAAATAAGATAATTTGTTATGAATCCAATCTTCTCGATATTATCCCCTGTGTGAGAATTTATAATTAAAATTTACAATTTTACTTCCTTAACCATCCATCTTAATCGAATAAAAAAAAAAGAAAAAATGAAAACACATATTCTTCACAACTATCACAATACACGGACAAAATTTTATATAAAAATATTAGAAAAAATATCGTCTCAATTACAAAATCCAACTTTCAAAAACTATATCTCATTCCTCTTTCTTTTCCCCTCACTTATACCATATGAACAAATAAAACAAATAAATTGATACGAATAATAATTCATACACGAGAATGATAATAAAACTCTACATACATTATTTTTAAAAATATTATCTCCTCGCAAAAAAAAAGATTGATTCCATTAAAATAATTATTGATGAGATATCCTCTCGAATCTAAATTATTTAATATTTTATCTAGTAATTTCTTAAACAATATCGGCACAAAAAGTACAAATTACGATCGACAGAACAAAATGATCGAGAATTTCAATTGCCAATCAATCGTTGGAAGAGTGACATTTCGAGAACGCGGTACGGAGATACCGGTGTCGTAGCGGTTTCATTAATATTCATGCATATTCATACAAGCAAAAAACCCGTGTATTTATGCACGATACCCCGCCTCTCCCAGATCCGTGTCCCGATGGTTAATCAGCATAAAGTAAGCCTTTTAACGATCGACGTAAGAACACGGAAAGAGTCATCTGTTTTCGATTCAACACGGTGTTTATCTTTTAATAAAAACGAGGACCGATACACGCCATTAAATTACATCTTAATTTCGGAACGGCGAGCTCGAATCGTTTATTGGTCCCCCAATAAATTCTTTAAAATGTCCATGCATACTTGCCAAATGTTCGTGGTCCAGTCTCTCGTTGTGTATGACTTATTTTGGCTCGAGTTAAAAATCACTGGATACGTATAATCTTGTTCTGTATAATCTATCAAGTAATTCTTGGAAATAAAAATTGTCGATACCGATATAAAATTGTAATCTTCTCGGGAATGGAATAGAAAGAAGATTAAAAATGAAGCTTGTAATTTTTCTTGATACGATATTAAGTGCATGAAAAATAATTTTAATAATTAAATTCTTTAGTTAAATTTTGTCTTACAGATAGATATTATTGTGTATTACTTTACGAAAAATTGTTCGATCGATACACGAATGCTTCAATGTCTCGAAACGAAGGAATCATTACTTTCAAAATGAATGATATGTTGGAACTTACGATAATTATAATTAAATTTCACATATAAATGGAATATATGTACGAATATAAACGTCATCATGGATCAGAATTCGTCTTATATTCTCCCTGATGTGATAAGATTCAAACGCGGAATGATTCATCGAGAATTCGGTTTGAATTATTTTCGTTTCGGCTTGGGTTGATCAAGCAGAAGTGGAGGGGCACGCGAAAAGTGATAAATTTTAACCGATAGCTCGAATAAAAGATAACCGTTCTAAAGAAAGCTTTCATAGCGATCGGCCAGATGCGCGCCGCTGAAAACTGGCCCTGATGAATAACCATCGAATGGTCGATCAATTTTTAATCGGAGGCCGTTGCAACCTACGCGAGACTACGATTATCCTGGCTGAAAAACGCTTCTCGTTTCCACTCTGGAAACAGGGATCCACCAGTGTGTTTAAACGACGAGCACGATAACGACTCTGTACTTGACAGGCTAACCCAGGTCAATTTTTCTTTCAGATTACTCTGTCTCCTCTTTACCTTGTTAGAATAATAAAAATATATTCGCTTATTTTTAAATAATAAGCGATTTCATATGTGAACTCTCGCTTGTGTTCGACCCTTAAATAAAATAATTTTTGCGAATTTTACACGAAGATTTATCGGGAAGGATACTGAAAAAATATTAAAGATTCTTAGATTTTCTATCCTGTATAAAAAAAATATACTTTTACACGATATGGAAAGAAAAGAAAATCTGAAGTTATTATAAATAATTCTAACATTACCAATATTGTTCTTCAAATTTTCAACTCGTAAAATTAATCGATCTCGCGCAGAAGGTATGATGCGATAGCTGTTGTCGAACAGCGAAAAAGGAATTGGGTTACCTGGGCTCTCAAATACGGAACTTTTGCCAGAGTTGCGCGATTCTCCGTATCGTGCTTCAACATCCGGTATTCGAGCGGTGTAATATTATATTATTTGCCACAACTTGGAATGGAACGAGATTTTCCCGACTTTTCGAGCTGCGCCTTGTTCGAGAAATGTCGATTCCTCGCAAGCGACGAACGTTAATGCTGAAAATTCTACGCGTCATTTCAACGCGTCGTTCTTGCTTCAAAGAACATTTCAATAATCTACGACAACGCAACGTCGATGTTCCAAGTGTTTCTTTGCCTCTTCCTTTCTTTTTTCTTTTTTTTTTTAATTCGTTGATATCTCGAGCTTTTTCCCAAAGAGCGTCGATTTCTTTATTACGTTAATTCCACACGTTTCACGGTAGTGTTATTACGCTGTATTCCCTTTGCTGGAATTCCAACGGTAACAGGATACGCGATAGAAGGAAGTTTTTTTGTGATGGTAGCTGTCAAGATAACGCGTGAAAGTAAATGAGGAGCTCGAGGAGTTGGAGGATTTGACGAGAGAAAGAGTTGGATTCTTGGGGAACGAGACATCTGTTTCTATCTAAGGAACATCTTCCATTAGGCGATGGACGAATGGAAGAATAAATTGGACGCTTCGATTGGACGAGGGCGATGGTTAGAGAGAAAGATAACACTTTACGATCTCCCCACGACGGTTAAAAAATCATTTGTGCACTTATTGCGAAACAGTAATTAATTAAAATTAATTATTTGATGTTGCAAATGAAAATTAAATACTTAACGAATAAATGGTTCGTTAGAAGGCTAAAAATATTTTATATTTGCCATTATAAAAGAGGAATAAAATAGAAAAATTACTTTTTACATAATTCGTTCGAAATTGACGATAATCGAAAATTAATTTGAAGCATTCGATAAAAATATTCTAATTTTCCAACAAAATAATTTCTTCCTCCTCCCTCAAAGAATCATTTCGTCCAAAAAAAAGCGCGCCAGGTTGCGCGGAATGGAGAGAACGGAGGGAAAAGAGTAATTTATCGAGGCGCCCCTCCCCCCCTCTCAGAATCCATTTGAATAATTAACGCAAAACGCCTTCTAAATAAACCTCTCGCAGCTGCGTGGTCCGGAAATGGCCGCGATTCGGTCAATTCTATTTAAGTAGCAAGAAAGTTTATCGAATTTCGCGGGGTGTCGAAGAAAAAGGACGCGGTGAAAATTCAGCCCGCATCGGTCGGGGCTTGGTCAGGTGCGCGTATCCCGGAATAGTTTGTAAATAGAATGCCTAGGTTGGAACGTTGGAAATTGGATTTATGTCGTTCGGGGCGTAGCTGCCGGCCCGGGGACGTTTCGAGATTGATGGCTGCACCGAGATAGTGCGTTTCGAGGATTGACAAGTGTGAAAGAGAAATTCGAAAGACCTCTCAGTTCAGTTGTTTTCCTCCAACTCCCTCCTCCCTCCCTTTTTTTCTTTTTTTCTTTTCCTTTTTTCCCATCGTGATTCTCTTTCCCGCGTAGATACGTACACGGCGCGGTATTGGATGGATGATGGAAGCGGATATGGAAATAAAAATTTTGCTCCTCTTATGCTTCGAATACGTAGCTTGTTGTTATCCGCGTCTTTTGCGCGGAGAAAAAAAAATTTGATCCCTTCCTCCGATCTCTGGCTCGGTTCTCCAACCAAGAGTGAGAAAAATTTGAAATTGCGGAATTATGGAATAGATGATTTATGGATGAAAATCGAATCTCTCGATTCAATCTCTTGTTTAATATTTGGGAATATTTGAAGATGAATATAAATTAAAATGAGAGAAATTTTACGCGCAAGATTTCAAGGAGAAATACTTCTTCTCCTACGAAGAGAAATGACAATACATTTTCCAACGGATCTTCGTTTCTAATTTACATTCTTCATCGAATTTCCTCGTTACAACAACGCTATTTCTGCTCTTTCTCTCTCTCTCTCTCTTTCTCTCGTTCATCGAATACTCAAGACAGATATCCCATAGATATCCTTCCTCATTCTTGATTTACATTCTTCATCGAATTTCCCTCCTTACACGAACGTTCCATTCCTGTTCTTTCATTCATCGAATTCTCATAATCCGATAACGGACGAATCGCAATGTAATTATACAACTAATTATCCCGCGGCACAACTCAATCGGCCCCCTCGGTAATTCCATTCCCCCTTAATACCCCCGTATTAAGACGTCTGTCGTAATTTAATTTCCCTTAAACTCTCGGCGGCTGAATCGTCGCCGCTCTTTTCCCAACAGGCGTCGCGATTCTCCAGAAGATTTCATTGCGAGCGCACACGTCAGCGGTAGCACGATTCCTCGTAATGTATTTCTCCATGATGAATAAGTAATTGCAGTGGAAGGGAAGGAGGGAGGAAATGGGGCGTATCGAGTGTTTAATTGTATTAAAGGACAAGTTATTGGTCTGAACCAGAGGTCTGTGTAGCGATTAGAGGCGGGGGGAGGAGACAAAGAAAAGAGGAGGGGGATTAAAAAAAAGGAAAGGAAGAAAAACGAAGAGGACGTTAAGGGGACCAAGCAAGCGCCCCCTCCACCCCTTTTCCTGTTCTTATTTCTCGCAGGTCCGCGCGATAATGGGCTTTTACTGCATGAATAGAAGCGGCAAAGATGGACTCTTTCTCCGGCTCTCACTCCCGGTGTTCCCTCCCGTTGTCCCTTGCTGTAGGTGTCAGACGTGAAATTAGTCCGCATTTATATTCTTATTTGCATACAATGGAATCAGATAGCGTAATAATTGTTCTTTTATTCAACGTTTTATCGCGTCCCGATCGCCCGGCTCCCGCGGACGCCTACTCCTCTCCGATCCCGATTCACTCGATGCCTCTCTAATTGCATCTGCCTCTCCATTAATTGCGTATTTCAACCTAAAATAGAGCCTAGTTTTTAAGATAATACGTATTAAATTATATCTCGATGTTATATGGATATAGGGATATGATATACGTCTTTTTCTCAGTCCAATTTTCTCAATGATTCGCGACATTTTTAACGACACTTCACCGTTGTACAATAAATCCTTCGATCTTTCATTTTCTCGATTTTGACAACGTCCAACGTCCACATGCGCTCTGCAACAGAGTTTGAAGGAGAAGAAAAAGAAGAAGAAGGAAGAAAAAACGTTCCCCCTTTTAAACGAAAGCTAATTCCTCGTTTAAGCGGACACAAGAAAGAGATCGGGGCACGTCTGGCGAATCGATCAAACTGGAAGCTCGACAAGCGGGATGCCGCCCTCATTTTCCCTTTCTCGCTCGCACCCACTTCCGCTCCTCCTCTCCATCTTCCTCCTATCCCTAATTTCTTGCGTGGGGCGACACTCGAGAAAGCATAAACACGTGTTCCGCGTGACGTGTACGCGCCGACGACCGCGGCATCCGTTTCCAACGGCAGCAGTTTCACAGATCGTGAACGTAAACTTCTCATGCGCTCCATTTCAGACGTAGACACGCGTACACGAGGG